CATGTGGAATCCAGTGCACTATGAGCTTACCGTAAAACCTCTATTAGAACGACACCCGGATCGTCCACTTTGAGCCTATATATCTCACTTTTTGTGAAAGATATCAAAAAGTGGCTAACTAGTAAAATGTTGCTGATATCCTGATAAACATTTTACTAGTTAACCACTTTTTGATATCTTTCAAAAGAAGTGAGATATATAGGCTCAAAGTGGACGATCCGGGTGTCGTTCTAATAGAGGTTTTACGGTAAGCTCATAGTGCACTGGATTCCACATGACCTTTTCCATGGAGATACTCATAACTCTCTTCAAACTTGATATTTCAAAATGATTCAAATTGCGAATTGTTGGTCTTGAAAAGTTTTAAAAAATGATATAAAACAAGTAAATGTTCCATTTAATTTGAAGATGCAGCTCTGCTTCAGGGTTAAGGACACAGCAGAAAAGGACTATATTTTTGTAATGCTCATAACATCCTTCAAACTCAACATTTTCAAATAATTATTATTGCAAAATATAGGTCTTGAAGAGTTCTACTATTTCATACGAAATACTAAACAGAAGCCGTTGACAAAGGCTATGGGGTAAGTCTCGAAACAACCGACCGTGACGAGAAGCAGTGTGTTCAACGTCTTCTGTTGAATGATGTCAAAATCAAACATATTGAAGTTTAATATTATTTTGTAGAGCTTTTCAAATCCCACATTTTGCAATAAAGATCATCTGAAAATGTTCAGATTGAACAAAGTTATGAGGTTTCTAAAACAACTAGCTCTTTTCTTCAATGTTAGCGCCGGCTCAGCTCCAGTTAAACCGGAACATTAACATGTTTTATATCATTTTGTAGAGCTTTTCAAATCCTAAATATTAAAATTTTAATTGTTTCAAAATGTTGAGTTTGAAGAGAGTTACGAGTCTTCAAAGAGGGCTAGTCGGTGCTAATCTTAAAACCAGGGATCTCCAAATAAAGACGTTTCTATTGTTCAGTCTATGGTTAAGAATAGAAACCAAAAGAACCATGACTAATGGATTTTTTTCCATAAGACAGGAAGACCCAACCTTCCCACAGACCGAGTCTTCCAAACACTCCTAACCATTCGTAAATACCATCTCTCCTCTTCCTTCCCATGTACCCATTTGGTGTACTGGCTAACAGAAAGGGAATCCAATCCAAATGGGTCCCTGGATCAATTCCCCTCTGTGGTCCAAATGCAATGATATTCTGTAAACGACGACGTCTCATCTCAATCCAAATGATACTGTATTAACGGAATACACGGTCGGATGGGGACATGGGCGAGTGTCTAATCTTCTCTCTGAGCATTTTTTTTTGAGCTCATTTATCTCGGTTACTGTAAGAGATAGCAAAAACTTGTTAACTAGTGAAATGTGTGAAATTTTATGATAAACATTTCATTAGTTGACAAATTTTTGATATATTTTACAATAACCCAGATAATTAAGCTCAAAGTACCTCTTTTGGTTTGTGTATGAGCGGTGGATGTCTTGGCTAAATTTTAAGCTAGATTATCTTGGTTACTGTAAGAGATATCAATAATTTATCAACTGATAAAATGCGCAAAATTTTAAGATAAACATTTTATCAGTAAACAGCTTTTTGATATATCTTACAGTAACCTAGATAATTGAGTTTGAGTGCGATAGAGCGCAAGTTCACAACTTTAAAAACTTGAGATCACACCTTCCCACTTGAGATTCAGATATAACACACTTCCCACACAACTCTTGACACCCATTCTGATAGATGTATCTTGATAGACATCTATCTCAATGACAGAAAGAAAGTGACAGTAAGAACAGAAAAAAAGATGCTATCCGTATAATTGAACGCGTCCTCTTGAGAGGTGTCCCCATCAGAAGAAATAGCCCTTCTTCCGATCCGAACGTTCCGGAACTTTGTCTTTATTGTAGAATAGTCAAGTTTTGAAAACTTTTTCCAGCAAAAAATTTGTGAAGTGGCCTAGAAATCCAAAACTCTCCAAAGGTTACTGTATCTCAGTCAGTTTTTGCCCATTTTCTAGAATTTTTATATTTTTGAATTTAGCGTAACAAGCCGGTCAAAATAAGTATAATCATGTCCATACTTGACTAAAATTGAAAAATCACCAATTACTCGTCAAACATGATGAATCGGATTCAAGTTGCCGTATCTCAGTCAATTTTTTACAACGGTCAAAATAAGTATAGTCACTTGNNTNTAGCTAGAAATTTGTGAAATGGCCTGGAAATCCCAAACTCGGCCACCCTTCATTTTTGCCAAAAACTGACAAAAATTTTCGAACGAATGGATCTCCACAAATCCCTATGTTCTCTAGCTAACCTCCAAATCTCTTATAATCCGAATTGTGTCATTTTTGATACTTCCTTCCCCCTATTCTTACCCGTTTTATGTCCAAACTGTTCCTCTGGGATAGTTATGACAAACTGACCGGACAATCCGCTGAATACCATGACAGGGCAGGTGGATTTTCCGGGTCTTAAGAGTTGACTTCGCGACTGTACAGGTTAGCTAGAGAATCTAGAGATTTGTGGAGATCCATTCGTTCGAAAATTTATGTCAGTTTTTGGCAGAAATCGAAGGTTGGCCGAGTTTTAGGTTTCTAGGCCACTTCACAAATTCCTAGCTAGAGACAAGTGACTATACTCATTTTGACCGGTTTGTCGTGCTGATTCCAAAAATATTAAAATTATCGATTTTGAACAAAAATTGACTGAGATACGGTAACTTTTGTGTTTATCGATACACCATATTTACCGCGAAATTGATAAAACTTTGATTTTTAGACAAAACATGTCATGATTAAACTCATTTTGACCGACTTTTCGAGCTGATTCCAAAAAACCAAATTTCACCAAATTTGAAGAAAAATAGACGGAGATACGGTAATTTTTGTGTTTATCGATACACCATGTTGCACTCCAAATCTGTGATTTTTCATTTAAGATCAAACAATGACATGATTATACTCATTTTGACCGGCTTTTTGAGCTGATTTCAAAAATTTGAAAATATGTGAATTTTAGCTAAAACTGACTGAGATACAGTAGTTCTAAATAATGGATATCTGGAAGAAATCGAACAACAATTTTTTTCAGAATTTCGAAATTTCCATTTTTTCAAATTTTCCCCGTTTTCTGAAAATATTATTTTCAGATTTTTATGTCCTTCTCGATCTGAATACTAAGCCCCGCCCCTTTTCCCTCTTGCCTCCTCTTAGCTTTGGTTGCACCCGGCTGCCTGGGCTCCGCAAGCTCCGCCCACTTTTACCGCCCCACCCCCACCAAGGGGAAAGGTCCATTCATTCTTGGTCCACCGCCTAGACCAGCTTCCCTGAGTTTTGATATTTTCTGACTACAGTAATCTCTAGCTACCGTATTCCCCTCCTATCATTTTACTGTTGAAAATGCGCCCCACCGACACTTCCAACTTCGCTCCAGCCGAAATTTCAAAACGAAAAATTCGTCGAGTCAAAGCGAATGGTCGTGAGAGAGCCCGAATGCATGGGCTCAACGATGCTCTGGACAATTTGAGAGAATACATTCCGATCACCACGAAACACCAAAAATTGAGCAAAATCGAGACATTGCGGCTGGCGAGGTCAGTGAAAAATAGGTTTAAAAATAGGCCAAATATCGTAAATCAATAATTTTTAAGCTTGTAGAGTCGTTAGAAAAAAATTTGAAGTTTCGAAAAAAATTTTTTATTTTGCAAAAATAATGGTATTTTCTCTGTAAACTAGATAAATTCTTGGTTTTTGATTGTTTGCGACCATTTTTAAGCTGTTCCGCTAGAAAATTCGCTGAAAATCGTGATTTTTTAGGTTACTGTAGTTTTCGTGGCGAGAAATTCATTAAAAAGGTTTTTTTGGAGTTTTTTTCTTGAATTTTCGTTTTTAGGCAGTTTTTGAAATCCAAAATTGTGTGAAAAATTGAGAAATTAAAGAAAAATCTGAAAAATTCCAAAAAAAATTTTTTGCGAAAAATTTTTTTTCGAAAATTTTCCAAAACTAGATCAATTATCGTCTTTTTAGTGTTTTGCGACCATTTTTAGAGTTGTTTTGCTGAAAATAGTAATTTTTAGGTTACTGTAGTTTTCGTGGCGAGAAATTTTGTTATTTTTCGAAAACATCGTTTTTTTTGCAGTTTTTTCTGGAACTTTTGTGTTTAAGCTAGTTTTGGAGGCCTAAAAATTTTAAATTAACTAGAAAATTTGAGAAATTTAAGAAAAAAAAATCGGAAAAAATCCAAAAAAAAGTTTTTTGAAATTTCTGAAAAAAAAAGCAAGATTTTTATTTAAATTCAATATATTCCCTGTTTTGACACTAATTTTAGTGCAATTAGCACTAATTACGACATCTAGGCGCTATTTTTGAATTCCAGGCGTATGCAAGCGCGCGCTAACGCTGATTTTCGGATTTTTTTGCGAAAATACAGGGAATTTCGAATTTTAAATGTTCATCAGAGCGAATTTGCTCATTTAAACCGCCGAAACAATTTTACGATAGTCCCTTCCCCTCCCCTTCCCACCGAACACAAGTTTAACGACTAATAAATATTTAACTGCCGAAGATGATCTCTCAGACATGAATAATTGATTAATAACTAATTAACTCTCTAGTTAATTACCCATTTAATTCCAGAAACTACATCAACGCGCTTCAACAAATGCTCCAAACCAATGAGCAACCGACACCGCTAGAATACGCTCACACGCTGGCAAACGGGTTGTCCCAAACGACAACCAATATGTTGGCTAATTTGTTGCAGGTAATTAATTATTGAATTCGCAGAAAATTTGAGATTTTTCAAAAAAAATTTCAAAAAAAAATTTTTTTTTAAATTTTTTTTCGGAATTTTTCAAAAATTTTCTTCAATTCCCATGTTTCTCTCATTTTATCACAAATTTCATCGCAATTATGATAACAGCATTCTAGACGCTCAAATTAAACTCCGAGAGGCTGCAAACGCGCCCTAACGATAATTTCCTCTAATTCGTCGTTTTTCGCGAAAACTCTGGGAATTTTAGATTTTAAAGGCTCATTAAAGCGAAATCACATCTTTAAAAACACTCTAAATCGATGTTTTGCCAAAAAATTTGGAAAAATTTTTTTTTTCAATTTTCGACTTTTTTGAAAATTTCTTTCAGTATTTGCATTTTTAGCCAATTTTGGCTCGTCATATCAATTTTTATCGCGATTGAATGATTTTGAAAAAATCGAAAAAATTTTTTTTTTCAAAAATCAATAATCTCTTTCCAGGTCCAGCCACGTCATCTTCTTCCACCATCTCAGTTCGACATGTTCTCCGACGCCCCGCTCTTCCCCCAACACCCTCAACACCTTCAGAATCCTCCCCACCACCAGAGCTTCTGCCCGTCTTCTGAATCCCCGACGTCTTCTTCTTGCTCCCCTCCCCAATACTATTATTCCCCAAATCAACCGTCGGCTGCTCCTCTGCAAGCCACGTGTGAGCTGGCTCAATACCAGCAAATGTACCTTCAGAATCCCAATCGATTTTCATCGTATTCTCCCTAATTCTAGAAGTTTCTGGAATTTCTGAAAAATCTTTAATTGTCAATTTAGTCTCGATTTATCTTGTTACGGGTTGTGTTTTGATGAATTCTAATAATTAAAAATTTTTTTTTTAATTTTCAGCTAATTTTTAGGTATTTTTTCAGCAAAATCGCCTATTTTTTTCAGAAAAAAGTGAATTTTCGGTTATTTTAAGCCAAAATCACTATTTTCAGCAATTTTTATGCGATAAAAGGCCCAAAAACGCCAAGTTTTCACCAAAAAAAACCGTGCACCTGCTGGCCGAGTTGGAGTTTTCTAGGCCACCGACAAATTTTTCATTATTTTTTTTGGCCATTTCAAGCAAATTGCCCTATTTTTTGGACATTTCATAGCTAAAATTTCGAAAAAATAGCGAAATTTTGATTATTTTAGGTCAAAAATCCCTAAATTAAGCTAAAAAATGACCTTAAAGGTCCAAAAAGTCCAAAAATGCAAAATTTCCACTAAAAAATCCAGTGCAACCGCTGGCCGAGTTTTAGGGGTTTGCTAGGCCACCACTTCTTTTTTCATTTTTTGACGATTTTTTAGCAAAGTACCTTATTTTTTGGACATTTCACAGCTAAAATTTCGAAAAAATAGTGAAATTTCCATTATTTTAGGCCAAAAATCCCTATTTTAAGCCAAAAAAAAAGTCGAAAAACGCAAAAATTCCACCAAAAAAAGCTGTGCAACCGCTGGCCGAGTTTTTGGAGTTTCCTAGGCCACCAATTTTTTTCCATTTTTTAAACGATTTTTCACCCTATTTTTTGCTATTTTTCAGCAAATTGGCCTATTTATTCATTTAAAAAAACGAAACTTCGGATATTTTAAGCCAAAAACCCTATTTTCAGCAATTTTTATGCGATAAAAGGTCCAAAAATGCAAAATTTTCACCAAAAAACAGCTGTGCACCTGCTGGCCGAGTTTCTGGGGTTTTCTAGGCCACCAGCTAATTTTGCGGCCAATTTTGATGAATTTTTCAACTTTTTGGGCTGATTTTCCACCCAAAAATCTGTCAATTTTCGGGGGGGGGAGGGATCTTTTTGAATATTCATTACTACTAGCTTCCCTAGGTGATGACTTAATTACCCCACGACGAGCTTGAGTTAATTGCTCTCCTCCTCCTAAGGGTGGTAGTCCCTATAAATAATAATTATGAGAAAAAAGAGAAATCGGGGGAAAACAGGGAAAACTGAGCACTTGAGAGCAAGTTTCAAGTTTGAGAGACATGGGTAATTGTGGGGAAAAAAAAAAGAAATTTCTAGAATTTTCTAGACTCAAAAATCATAAAAATTATTCTATTTTTCACTAGAAAAACTGAGAATTTTTCAAATTTTTAAGACTCAAAAACCCCCAAAATTTGAAAATTTTTCACTAAAAAATGGGAATTTTCGCTTTTCAAAAGCCTAAAAATTGAAAATTTTCAACATTTTTAACCTCAAAAATCACTAAAAATTGACAATTTTTGGCCTAGAAAACTGGGGATTTTTTTATCGAATTTTAGATAAATTTTTTGCGACCCGAAATAAATTTTCTACCTGAAAATAAAAAAAATTTAACGATTTTTCCACTAAAAATCACAAAAATTTGGCTATTTTTAGATTAAAAAAAAATTTTTTTTTGGACCTAATTTTTCAAATTTTTAAAAAAATATTTTTTTTTCTATTTTTTAGAATAAAAAATAACCAAAATTAGACCATTTTTTTCAATTTTTTAACCTAAAAAATCTCAGAAACTCGGTATTTTTTTCACTAGAAACCTGGGAATTTTCGCTTTTTGCCAAATTTTTGGGGCCCCAAAACTTTGTATTCCATTTTTAAGGCTTTTCCAGATTCAGAAATCCCCAAAATGTGACAAAATTTGCACTAAAAATTGGGAATTTCCGATTTTTTTTCAAAATTTTCGGATGTTTCAGACCCGAAAATCGCCAAAATTCAACATTTTTCCACTAGAAACATGGCTATGTTCGGCTTGAGGGCGGGAATTTTATATTTTTCAACAACAACAAAATCAACAAAAAATTCAGAAAACAAAGAGATCAATCAGATTCCACAGGTGCCTTCTTCTTCGTCCTCTTCCTCTTGCCCGTCGCCGTTCGTTCTCCGGTCCTCACCGTCTCCACTGACGCCTTCATGATCTTCTTCTTACACGCCAGAGGATTCACACCGCCCTTCTTCTTCTTTTTCTTCTTCTGTAGTGGATCTGATGGTCCCATGATCTCCTTTTTCAGCTGTTTCAGTCGCTTGATCTCCTCCTCGTCCTTGGAAGCGCCCGATTTCGTGGCTTCGGAGATCTGAAAATAGTTTTTTAGGTTCCAAAATGAAGAATGTAGTAGAAAATCTGGGGTTTTCTGCATCAAAAACACCTATTTCCATGGAAAATTGGGTCGAAAACCTAATTTTTCATAGACAATTGGATCAAAACCACAATTTTTCATGAAAATCAAGCTCAAAAACACCTTTTTTTTTGGAAAATATAAGGTGAAGGTCAAAAATCTCATTTTTCATGAGAACTTAAGCCAAAAACAGCATTTTTCATGGAAAATAAAATCAAAAACACAATTTTCCATAGAAAATAGAGCCAAAATCACCATTTTTCATAGGAAACCGGGTCAAAAATCTGATTTTTCAAAGAAATCAAGCTCAAAAACAGCATTTTCAAAAATCTAGTGATTTTATGCAAAACCGCTGTTTTTTTAGGGAAAACTGGTTCAAAACCACTATTTGTCATAGAAAATAGAGTCAAAAACACCATTTTTCATAAGCAACAAGCCTCAAAAACACGATTTTTCATGGGAAAACCCTTACATTATCCAACAAAATCGTCTTAAACTTGATATACATGATCGGTGTGCCCACAATCGTCCGCAACTTCTCCGTCAGCTCATCGTGCTGCGTGGCGATCAGATATTTCGTTTTTCCACTAGCAGCCCGTCTTGCTAGATGAGATAAACAGTCCGCAGCAGCAATCGGGGTCTTATGAGGGCATTCAGCGACTTCGAACTGTTTGGCGATAACCAGAGCTCCGTAGAGCAGCGGTCCAATCTTCTCGAGTTCATCTAGCACACATTTCGTAGTCATTAGATGGGTTTCTTCGGTTAGATACTTGGGAATTTGTTCGGCAAGGTTTAGCTTCTCGGTGAGAGCTGCTTGACAGAAGGTTCCATCCACCAGCACGCGATAGGGCGGGACAAATTTGTAGTTGTATTTAAAGAATGTCAGGAGGCGATTAGCCCGTTTTAATCTGAAAAAATCACTGTTATATCCCAGATTTCCTCGATTTTTGGGGTCTTTTCCAGGCATTTTCCTACCTCTTAACCTTCATTTTTCTACTTCTTTTTCAGGTTTTTAGTCACACAATCGATCAATTTCTTGAATTCCGCACTGCAATCGCCTTGTTTGATTCGCTCGGCTTGAGAAGAGACGCAGGAGCCGTAGGCGACGGTTTCCGTAGGGCACTTGGCGATGGAGGTGGCGTAGGAGAGGAGTCGTTGCGGGTTTGAAGCGTTTGGCATACCCTGAAACCGAAAATTCGTAAAATTTTATGTAAAAAAGGAAAAAAAACGAGGGAAAACAAGCAATACTAGTGGGAAAATAACCGAAAATCAATTTTAGGTAAAAATTCCACGGTTTTCTACTAATTTTCAGCTTTTCTAGGCTCAAAATTCGTTTAGAAATCGATTTTTCACCCTAGAAACTCACTAAAACCTCGCTGAGCAAGGTAAATGGGAAAATACTCGAATTTTTAAATTTTAGGTGAAAATCCGAGTTTTTTGAGAAAATTCTGGGATTTTCTGATTCTTTTAACTCGAAATTGTTTTAATATCAATTTTTGGTACCAGGACACTGAAAATTAGGCCAGATTAGTGGGAAAATAACCGAAATTCAATTTTATGCGAAAATCCGAAAAATTCGATTTCCCAAGAAAATTCCAGGGTTTTCTCCGAATTTTCAACATTTCTAACTAAAAAATATGGTTTTAAATCAATTTTTCACACTAAAAAACTCACTTTCAAGCTTTTTAGCCGAGAAAAATAGCTCGAAAAATAAAAAGAAAAAAGTAAACAGAGAAAAATCGCGATTTTTGTGCGCCGCAGCATGCAGAAACGCAAGCCTGGCACGCTTTGGGCGCTTTTCGTGGCGAGACCCGCCGCCGCTCATCGGGCGGTCTGCGCCTGTTATACCGTGCAAGTGAGCTGAAGAGAAGGGAAAATTTTTGATTTTCGCACGAAATTTCTCAAAATTTTTGCAAAAATTCTGAGATTTGCTGATTTTTTCTTGATTTTCAGCCACTTTTCGAGCTTTTTCTGTGCTATTTCCCCTCGCATTTTCGTTTTTTAGGTTCGACAAGCAGAAAACTTGATTTTCTTTGTTTTTCAGGGGTACAAACTATGGCTTCGCGTTCGTTGGCCTCTATCAGCCGTTCGGCATCTCGTCTCCTTCAAAGCAACGTTCAGAAATGCGCTCTTCCAGCTGCCTCCAGTGAGTTTCAGTCTGAAATTCTGAATTTTCTATTTTTAAAGAATTTCAGTAAAATTCTAATTTTCAGTCCGTCTCAGCTCAAACAATGTTGAGAGCAAGAAGGGAATCCACACCGGAGTTGCCACCCAGCAAGCTGCCGCCGCCGGAAAGGTAAAAAATGCCTTAATAACCCGCAAATTCTTATGAAAATTATTTTCTAGGTCTCCGCCAAGGCCACCGCTGCTAACGCTTCCGGACGTATCGTCGCTGTTATTGGAGCCGTCGTCGACGTTCAGTTCGATGAGAACCTTCCACCAATCCTCAACGGTCTTGAGGTTGTCGGACGTTCCCCAAGACTCATTCTTGAGGTTTCCCAGCATCTTGGAGACAATGTCGTCAGATGCATTGCTATGGACGGAACTGAAGGACTTGTTCGTGGACAGCCAGTCGCTGACACCGGAGATCCGATCAAGATCCCAGTCGGACCAGAAACCCTTGGCCGTATCATGAACGTCATTGGAGAGCCAATCGATGAGAGAGGACCAATTCCATCCAAGAACTTCGCTCCAATCCACGCTGAGGCTCCAGAGTTCGTCGAGATGTCCGTCGAGCAAGAGATTCTTGTTACCGGAATCAAGGTCGTCGATCTTCTTGCCCCATACGCCAAGGGAGGAAAGATTGGACTTTTCGGAGGAGCCGGAGTCGGAAAGACTGTGCTTATCATGGAGCTCATTAACAACGTCGCCAAGGCTCACGGAGGTTACTCTGTTTTCGCCGGAGTCGGAGAACGTACCCGTGAAGGAAACGATCTCTACCACGAAATGATTGAAGGAGGAGTCATTGATCTTAAGGTTTGTTACAATTTTGATTACAACCAGTTTCGCATTCATTTGATTTCCAGGGAAAGAACTCCAAGGTATCTCTCGTATACGGACAGATGAACGAGCCACCAGGTGCCCGTGCCCGTGTGTGCCTCACCGGACTCACCGTTGCCGAGTACTTCCGTGATCAAGAAGGACAGGACGTGCTTCTCTTCATTGACAACATCTTCCGTTTCACTCAAGCCGGATCTGAAGTGTCTGCTCTTCTCGGACGTATCCCATCCGCTGTCGGATACCAACCAACCCTTGCCACTGACATGGGTGGTATGCAAGAGAGAATTACCACCACCAAGAAGGGATCCATCACCTCCGTGCAGGCTATCTACGTGCCAGCTGACGATTTGACTGATCCAGCTCCAGCCACCACATTCGCTCACTTGGACGCCACCACTGTGTTGTCTCGTGGTATCGCCGAATTGGCTATCTACCCAGCTGTGGATCCACTCGACTCCACCTCCCGTATCATGGACCCCAACATTGTCGGACAAAACCACTACGACATTGCTCGTGGAGTGCAGAAGATCCTCCAAGATTACAAGTCCCTCCAAGATATTATTGCTATTCTTGGTATGGATGAGTTGTCTGAGGAAGATAAGCTGACTGTGTCCCGCGCCCGTAAGATCCAGAAGTTCCTTTCCCAACCATTCCAAGTCGCCGAAGTTTTCACTGGATATCAAGGAAAGTTCGTATCACTCGAGGAGACCATCCGCGGATTCACCATGATTCTCAAGGGTAAGACAAACAAACACTAGACGAAAAACAGTTTCTCGATTCAACATCTTTTTCAGGAGAGCTCGACCACCTTCCAGAAGTTGCCTTCTACATGCAAGGAGGAATCGATGATGTGTTCAAGAAGGCCGAGGAGCTCGCCAAGCAACACAGCTAAACGATTGACAATTAGTTTTATGTTTTTGTTATAAAGCCGGCACTACATTTTTCTTTCCTTTTTTAAAATGTTTTTTCGTGGTAGTGATAAAATTAATGTATAGTTTATTGTATTGTTGCGGTAGTGCTGTTTCCGTCAGACCACTATTTGGTGACACTCAATACGTTGTTTTTTCTCTCTCCTCCCTCTCTCCCCAATTCTCCGAATTCTATCAGCCCCAACTATAATGATTGCCCATTTTCATAGGCACCAAAAAATAAAAAAAAAACTGCCTCATTTGACTACTTCGAATATTTTGATCAGAAATAAAAAGAAGGTCGATGATTTTCTGGAACATTTTTCAGCCTAGAAAATGAGTAGCCATCGAACCTACGCGGATGATCTGTTCCCACAAGAGGTGATGGATAGCGGTACGGCCACGCCACCACAGGACTACCCATCGTCAACATCCAGCCAATCATCCCATCAACACTATCTGGAGTCGGCAAACTCTAGAATCCACGTGGGATGGGTGACGTCTCCATATGAGGCGAAAGAAGAGCTAGACACTGCGATCAGTGGGCACTGTTCGCGTCTTGGAGAGGCAAAGTACACGTTTGTGGCTTTTCCAGTCGGCGGAGTGGTCCGCGGGTTTTGGAAACCGGTTGAGGGGTAAAATTGGAAAATTGAAATTAGAAAAACGGGAAAATTCGAATTTCAGCGCTAAAAATGAGCCTCCAGCCATCCAATTACCCGATGTTCAGTTGGCTAATAATCTCTGGGAGACCTATGTGACTGGCAGGGTAATTTTTAGAAAAATGGAAAATTCTAGATTTAAAAAAAAAACCGATTTTTTGTAGACATCACCCTGGATCGATTGTGATTCTGAGGATCCAAAATTCGCGGAGATTTCTGAGGAGAGTCTGATCACAGAGCTCAATTATATCGCTTATATGGGTCTCAACTCGATGACGATCCAGCTGAATAGGATCTCATCTCCACGCACCGCGGCGCTTTTCAATAAATGGGTCTGGACGAGGAATACGAGATTTACGTAAGGGAAATGAGACTGGAAATGGTTGAAAATCGGGGAAAAATGACTGAAAATAGCTGAAAATTGGTTAGAAATGGCTGAAAATAACAAAACATCGACTAAAAATCAATGAAATTGGCTCGAAAATCCAGATTTTCAGCCGGAAGTCTGACAAAAAGTTGAAAATTTTGGTTTTTCGTGAAATTTTAGCTGGAAAAATGCTGAAAAATGGCTGAAAATCGACAAAAATTGACTGAAAATCCGGATTTTCATCCAGAATCTAGCGAAAAATAGCTGAAAATTGATGAGAAATGAGTGAAAAATTCGAAACTTTGACTGAAAATCTGCTTAAATTTTTTCTGAATTATCAGATAAAATTATCGAAATTTTCGTATTTTTTATTGGATTGTATCATTTTCAGCTCCAAAAAACATAGCTTTTGAGTCGATTTTCAGCAATTTTCAGCTCAAAATCTAGATTTTTCCCTGAAATTTGCCATTTTCAGCATGTGGATCCAGCTGCCTTCGTCGATCGAACAATGCGTGGACTTTGATCCCCAATCCACCCCCAAGAACATGGACATCTGGACAATCTGGGCGAATTTCCGACAGGGATGCTATAATTTCAGTGGTGTCTACCTCCAAGCTATGCTCAGAATCGCTGGAGACCTCCCAGACGAATTTGTCGATACGAAAAGAGTGGATCGGTGGAAGGCGGAGCCTCTGGGAGGGTTTGTGGTCGAAACTGATGTCTATGCAACCGATAGGAATGGAATGGCGTCGTTGTCGAGGTGAGCAGAAGGGAATTGTGGAAAAATCGGCGAAATTGACTATTTTTTCATCAAAAAGTCTCAAAAAATGGTCATTGTGTGAGATAAAATCAGTTTTAAATCCGAAAAAAAATCGCTGAAAATCGACTATTTTTCCATCAAAAAGCTCGAAAAATGGAATTTTTCTTGTATAAAATCGGTTAAAAATCCTAAAAATCGCTGAAAATGTCTGAAAATAGCTGAAAATCGACCATTTTATCATCAAAAAAGCTCGAAAAAATCGCTGAAAAAGCTCTTTTTCTATTTGAAAAAAATCATTCAAAAACAAAAAGAATTTTGAAGCAAATTTTTAGTGGAAAGTTGCGAAATTTTAGCTATTTTTTGGCCTAAAAATGACTTGAAATACTGGGATTTTTGAGCTTTTTGAATCAATTTTTTCATGAAAAATTCGGAGATTTTGGCTTGAAAATGAAGAATTTAAAGCCAAATTTTGGTTTAAAAAACCTCTGAAAAATGCTGAAAAATTGCATAAAATCTGAATTTTAGCTATTTTTTTAGCCTAAAAATGAGCCATTGCTTGCTGAAAATTACTTTTTAGAGCGCAAAAAAGCCATTTTTCCATGAAAAATCCGGATATTTAGCTCCAAAATCCATCGAAAAATGGGATTTTGAAGCTAATTTTCCGTCCGAAAATTGCGAAATTTTAGCTATTTTTTGCCTAAAAATGACTTGAAATTCTGGAATTTTTGAGCACAAATGATCCTTTTTTCCATGAAAATCCAGATTTTTGGGCCCAAAATTCGCTGAAACATGGGATTTTGAAGCTAAAAACCGAAATTTTTTATTTAAAAAACATTCTGACAATTCGAGAAAAAAACAGGGATTTTATGGGATTTTTTGAGCTAAATTTCCATTTAAAAATTCGAATTTTTAATTTAAAAATCTGAATTTTTGACCATTCATTTTTGGCCCCAAAAATCGCTGAAAAATGGGATTCTGAAGCTAATTTTCAGCCAAAAAATTTGATTTTCAGCTATTTTCAGTCAAAATTTCGAATTTAGAGATTTTCAATTTTTCTATACCTAAATTCTTTTTTTCCAGTGCCCACATCTCGTTCCTCCGTCAGCTCTGGTCCTCAGACGACCTTCGGATCCTCGTCGACCCCAAAACGGACACGTTCCTCTACAACGTCACGCTGAAAGCCGAATACGCCCTAGCTCTCCGTCAGGCTGTCCGTGACGTCAACTACAAGAGCAGCGAGTCATCGACGACGTCGTTGGCAGTGTCCGAGTACAAGGATGTCCTACAGGCGCCCCTCCAGCCCCTATCCGAGAACTTGGATTCGAGTGTGTACAATGTGTTCGAGCAGGACAAGATCAAGTACGACGCGTATGGCGACGCTGTGATGGGAGTGTTGAAGGAATTGGGAGCCGATGGACGCAGGGAGATTGTCATTTATCTTCTGGGCGGTGGAAGAGGACCTATTGTGAGTTTTTTGGGGCGCAAAAATTGAGGAAAAATGAGCAATTTGGGGACCTCAAAGCTCTGAAATTTGCTCAATTGTTAGAGAAAATTTTCGGAAGATTTGACCCCAAAATTGAGAAAAATAGGAAAATTTTACCCCTAAATAAAAGGATTTTTGCCAATTTCAGCCAGAGAAATTGCTGAAAATGGCTCAAAATTGTTGAAATATTAACCTAAAAATGCCAAAAAATCTGGAATTTTTCTTAAGAAAAATAGGATTTTTAAAGCCATTTTCAGCCAGAAAAATTGCTGGAAATAGAAGAATTTTTCTCCAAAAAATCTGAAATTTTCGAGTTTTTTAGCCATTTACAGCATTGAAATTTGCTTAAAACTGCTGAAAGCTCAAATTTCGCGCTAAAAAATTGAAATTTCGATGATTTGGAGCCATTTTTAGCCACGAAAATTGAGAAATCAGTATGATTTTCATAGTGTTGAAGCTCAAAATTTTGCTCTCCAAAAAGGGATTTTTGTCAATTTTAGCTGAAAAAAATGGCTCAAAATTGCTGGAAATATGGAAATTTTCACCTGACAAACGCCCCCTTTTTCCCCGATTTTCACCATTTTGGGCCCCACAAAAATAGCTGAAATTCGACGGAATGAAATTCGACGGAAAGCCATTTTCAGCAATTTTCACCTAATTTTTCAGTCGAGTCCAAATAATCCGACAAAAGTCAATGTTCCGCGAAACGGGCCCGTTACCATTGGAGTTTATATACACGTTAGTCAGTGGCTCACCAAAAAAATTGTTGGAAAAAAGTCTAAAATAAGGCCTTAAAATGGCTGAAAATCTGAATTTTCTGGCTTAAAAATCTGTGATTCGGCTCAAAAAACCATTTTTTTAGCTTTAAAATAGTCATTGTTAGGTAGAAAATACCATAATTTCATGCTGAAAGTTTTCATTTTTGGCTATGAAAATCAATTTTCAGCTGGAAATGGTCCAAAAATGACTGAAAATGGTCCAGAATTGACTGAAAATGAGCTCAAAATGATAGTTTTTGGCTCAGAATCGTCTGAAAATTGTCCAAAATAGTCCAGAAATTACGGAAAAGGACTGAATAGGTTCAGAATGAATCCATTTTTCTGAAAATGGTTGAAAAACTAGTAAAACAACCAAAAATAGCCTAAAAATGACCCAAAATAGCCTAAAAATGATTAAAAATAGCCTACAAATGACCCAAAATAGCCTGAAAATGGTCCAAAATAGCCTGAAAATGATTAAAAATAGCCAAAAAATGACCCAAAATAGCCTGAAAATGGTCCGAAATAGCCTAAAAATGACCCAAAATAGCTTGAAAATGGTCCAAAATAGTCCGAAAATGGTCCAAAATAGCTCGAAAATGGTCCAAAATCGATATTTTAAATCCAACAAGAATTCGATAAGCCTAAAATTCGGCTAAAAATGGTCTAAAATAGCTCAAAATAGCTCAAAAATTCTCAAAATTCTCAAAATTCGCTCCCACGACCCCTAGAACATTGTATCTCTTCCAGGGAACGACAATCCTGCGCGCCGAGAAGGACTACAACACGAAATTCCGTCAAAAGGGTGACCATCTGAAAGTGAAGCTCTACATCGTGGAGAAGAACGCGAACGCCATCATCACGCTTCGCTACATGAACCACCGTACCTGGAGACGTCGTGTGACGATCATCGAGTCGGATATGAGAAGACTCCCGGAAATCGCCCGAAAAATGAACTATCACCAGCCGGATCTCATCGTCTCCGAGTTGCTCGGATCCATTGGAGACAACGAGTTGAGCCCCGAGTGTTTGGATGGGGTCACCGACTTTTTGAAGCCAGAAACCATCTCCATTCCCCAGAAGTATATCTCCTACGTGGCTCCGATTATGAGCAATCATATCCATCAGACGATTCGAGCGCAGAGTATCCCGTATTTGGCGAGAGGACTCCCGAGTCATGGAAGATTGCAGCCGGAGTTGAATGGCGAAGGAGCATGGGTTCAGCTCTATCCGTTAGTTCTTATTCTCTTATTTAAGGGGGGGGGGGGAGGGGATTAAAATCATTCAAAACGGTTAAAATCCTGTTGGAAATAATCCAAAATGAGCTGAAAAATGACCCAAAAATTGCAAAAAAAATCATTCAAAATTACCCAAAATGACCTAAAAATATTGCATAAAATCATTCAAAATGGACTTAGATTTGTTTGAAATTGGCTGAAAATGGTCTGAAAATCTCTGAAAACTGATCGAAATTGGCTGAAAATGGTCTGAAAATGACTCTGAGCGGCTCAAAATGAGCTTAAAAGGGTCCGAAATGGCCTGAAAATTGAAGAAAAATGATCTAAAATAATGGACCAAAATGGGCTTAAAAGGTCTGAAATGAGCTGAAAACCACCTCAAATCGGTTCAAAATGACTGAAAATGGACCGAAACAAGCGTAAAAAAGGTCAAATATGAGCTGAAAATGATCAAGAAACGACTGGAAATGACTCAAAAAGGATACATGATGAATTAATTTGAAAGAGGATCTGAAATTGGATCAAAGTGATTAAAAATTGCCCAGAAATGACTGAAAATGGCTCCAAAAGCTCCAAAATGTCCTGAAAATCGTTCAAAAATGGCTGAAACGAGTCTGGATCGGATCCTGATGAATATCTTAGATGTGGTTCAGCATGCGCAGAAATGTGCCCAAATTAGCTTGAAAAGGTCCAAAATGGCCGAAAATGGACTGAAATTGCTCATAATTGATGGAAAATGGACCAAAATAGCTGAAAATGATATAAAATGAGCTGAAAATCATCGAGAAATGACTGGAAATGAACCTTAATGGAGTCCGCCTAAATTGATTTGAAAAATGGCTAGAAGGATCCGAAATTGACCTGAAAATCGTTCAAAATGGGCTTAATATGGTCTCAAATCAGCTGAAAATGATCCAAACTGAGCTGGAAAGCGTCCAAAATGGCTGAAAATGGTCCAAAATTAGCAGGAAAAGGGCCAAAAACTGCGCATCAGTGACTGAAAATGGCCTTAAAATGAACTAAAAGTGCTGAAAATGGACCAAAATAGACCTGAAATTTGCCGAAAATGGCTTAAAAATGCTCAATTTTGCAGACAAGGCGACATCATCAATAACATGGACCAGATCTACGTGGTCTTCCTGTCCAAATACATCTCGTTGAGTCGCCAAACCAAGGAAATGTTCACATTCCAACATCCGAACTTCCAGCACTCGACCAATGAGAGATCCGCGTTCATCGAGTTTCCAATCGATAGGAATACTGATGTAAGTGCAGATTTTTTAGAGAAAAAGCTCAAAGTTACGCTGAAATAGAAAGTTCTGGAATTTCAGCTCCAAAAATGAGGAAAATTGTGCTGAAAAAGCTCCAGAAATTTCCGGAATTTCAGATTTTAAAAATTCCAGATTTTTGGGCTGAAATTTCGCTCTAATTTTCAGTTGAAAAATTCAAATTTTTGCCGATTTTTTTGCGCTGAAATTTCTTTAATTTTCAGCCCTAATTTTCTCAAATTTCCAGATCAAAAAGTAGGAAAAAAGAGCTGAAAAAACTACAGAAATGTCTGGAATTTGAGCCTTGAAAACTGGAATTTCAGCTCTAAAAATTCCAGATTTTTGGGCTGAATTTTCGCTCTAATTTTCAGCTGAAAAATCCCAATTTTCGCCAATTTTTTAGCTGGAATTTCGGCTGAAAATTATCAAAATTTTTACCAAAATTTGACTTTCAGCCCTATAACTTTTCCCCCAATTTCCAGATCATGGGATTCGCCGGATATTTCGATTTGCATCTCTACAAGAATGTGATCCTCTCAACTGTACCGGAAACTCATACTCCGGGAATGATGAGCTGGTTCCCGGCGTTGATCCCACTGAGAGAGCAGTTGAGAGCGGACGATGGAGACACGGTTGCGCTGAAAATCAATCGAAAAGTGGACCAGGGAGGTGTCTGGTACGAGTGGAGTGCACAGTTGAAGGTGAGGCTTTGAAATTGACTGGACATTGGCTGAAAATAGGCTTAAAATGCTGGAAATTAGTCCGAAAATCGTAAAAATTGGGTTAAAATGGTTCAAAACAAGCTGAAAATGCCCAAAAATAAACTTAAAATTGTCCGATTTGACCTGCAAATGGTCCAAATTGAACTCAAAAAGGTCGAATTTAGGCTGAAAATGCTCCAAAATGGACTGAAAATGATTGAAAATCGGCTGAAATTGCTGAAAAATGACGAAAAATTGAAAATAGACTAGAATATGCTGAAAACCTTCTGAAAGGGCTGAAAATAACCCTAAAATCACTGAAAATGACCCTGAAAATGCTTCAAAATGGCTCAAAAAATCTGAAAATTGGCTGAAAATGGCTTAAAATGACTGAAATATTCTGAAAATGCTTCCAAATGAACTAAAAATGCTCAAAAATCGGCTGAAAAGGGGTGAAAATAACCCCAAAATCACTGAAAATGGCCTAAAAATGCTTCAAAATGACTCAAAAAAATCAGAAAATGGCTTAAAATTGACTGAAATTCAGCATGAAATGAATTGAAAATTGGCTGAAAATGGCTCTGAAAAAGCTCGAAATTGGCTGAAAACAACCACTGAAAATAGCCTAAAAATGCTTCAAAAAATCTGAAAATGGCTTGAAATTGACTGAAATTCGGCATGAAATGATTTGAAAATTGGCTGAAATCACTGAAAATGCTCCAAAATCTTCTGAAAAGTGCTGAATACCCCCAAAAACCACTGAAAATGGCCTAAAAATGCTTCAAAATGCTTCAAAAACCACTGAAAATGGCCTAAAAATGCTTCAAAATGACTGAAAAAATCTGAAAATTGGCTTAAAATGGCTGAAAATGACTGAAAAAAGTGATTTCTTCTTCCAGAAGCCCAACGGCGAGATCATTACGACGCCGATTCAGAATCCAAATGGAGAGAGCTACTACATGCGGATGTAGAATATTGATGAATTTGGATTATAATTTATTCATTTCTTCTCGAATTTTTCATTTTCTTTTTTTTCAAAATTTCAAAAAAAATTGATTTTTTGGGATTTTTAAATGGATTTTTTCTCGAATTTCTCATTTTCAAAAATTTCAAAAAAAATTGATTTTTTTAGAATTTTTTTTCTGAAATTTTCTTATTTTTGGCTATATTTTTGCCCCTTTTTTTTACTTTTGTTGTTGAATTTCTCTATTTTCTAGTTCAAAATTGCTCCTTTTTTTCATTGATTTTGTGATGATTTTTTTCCCCCCGCCCCATTCCTTTAGAAATTCCATAAAAATCCCCCGTTTTTCTTCAGATTTTTGAATTTCAAAAAAAATCGATTTTTAAGTGCTTTTTCTTCCCCCAGAATGTCAGCCCAATCTATGCCATTTTTCTCTTTTTTTCTCTCATGTGAATTTTCTGCTCAATTTTAATTTTTTGCCCTGAAATATGAATTGATTATTTTTAGATTTTTTAGATTTTTCCATTTTTTCCCCTTTTTTAATTTTTTTCAGCAGATTTTCCTAAACTTTCAAAATTCCTAATATTCAGAAATTGAGAAAAAAAATACGAAAAAATATCAAATTTCAAGATTCCAAAATACTCAAAAATTTGAAAAAATTGTTTTTTGGTTTTTTGGAATTTCTGAATTTTTGAAATTAAAAACTTTCCGAATTTTAGAATTTTTCAAAATTTCAGTATTTTTCGGACATTTTTGATACCGGTCAACTTTTTTGATATCTACTCTAAGAGATATCAAAATAGTATCAGCTGATGAATGATTTATCATAAAATCACCAATATTTTATCAGTTGACCACTTTTTGATATCTCTTACAGGAACCGAGATAATTTGACTCGAAGCTGACAAGTTGGAGAACACAGGTATACGGCACGTTTAGGGGGCTATCTCATTTGCTGTGAGAGATATCCAAAAGTTGCCAACTGATAAAATGTTTGATTTGAAATTTTACACATTTTATCAGTTGACCACTTTTTGATATCAATTACGGGAAATAAGATAATTGAGCTCAAGCTTACCCGGCGAGCAAGCTTTCCATGACCCAGTGGGTCGGGAAAGGGCGCTCTCTTGTCAATGCCCTCCGCTTCTTCGCTTCTTTTATGCGCGCGTGGCCGTGTGGCTAGTGCACTAAGCTTTTGATCGGGAGGTCAGTGGTTCGATTCCATTCGACGGCATAAATCTTTTTTTTTGTTTTTTTTTTGCTTTTTGGTATCAATTACGAGAGATGAGATAATTGAGGTTAATTGAAGTCTCACCAAGTTAGATCCAAAGTCTTCAACTTTATTAAAACAGAACAATTCAAAAATACAGTAATTCCATCTAGCTTAATTTCAACTTCTTTCCACTCTCCGCCGTTCCCTGATAAGTTTCCACTACTGCGGTCTTGACATAATAAAACATATTGAAGACCTTTCTAATCAACCCAAACTGTTCATCCGCTTCAAACAATCTGTCCATTTGAGCAGATTGCTCAGCAACTGATCTCATGCGATTTCGAGTTTCCTCGAGGGTCTGAAAAACGGGTTTTATTGATTTTTTGGTTCTGAAAGACGTTACCAATTCAGCATAATCTGCGACAGGAGCAGACAAATTGAGAATTTCTTTAAGATTATCAATGATTTCTTGGTAATGAACCATTCGCTGATCTCTGTTCTGTAAAAAAACACTTATCTTGGTTACGGTAAGAGATATCAAAAAAGTGATCAACTAATAAAATGTGTAAAATTTCAAATCCAACATTTTATCAGTTAACCGAATTTTGAGATCTCTTACAGCAACTGAGATAGGACCCCAAATATACCGGACGCCTGCTTTCTCCAACTTGTTAACTTTGATTTCGAAAATTCGAGAAATCTCCCGCTCGAAATGGTCTGCAAACACCGCGACGCAAAGTTGCAACCGGTTTGCGTACCGTAATCTCAAAAAATTCGATTTTTGAAGATTTTCAGCTTGTTCAAAGTTTTCAGAAGCCTGTAAAAATTATAAATATTTTTTTTTCAGAACAATATTTCCGCTGTTTTTTTTTCAGTATTTGACTTGAATTCCTTTATTTTTTTCGAATATGAAACCTTCAAATTTTAAATTCCCGCTAATATCCTTAAACGCGCCAGCCTGGCGCATCTCGCGATGCGTTGACTCATTTCTCGTGCGATGCATATTTTGAAGATTTAAAAGACTTTTTCAGCTTTTAATCCGAATTTTTCGGTTTTCTGACTAAAAAAATTGAAAGAAAGCGTAATTTTTATACAGAAATCCTGGAAAACTATCGATTTTTGCTATTTTTCAGCTAGAAAATGATTTTTTTACATAAAATTTTTTTTCAGAGTTTTAAGCATTTCAGAACGATTCGACTGGGAAATTGGCAGAAATTTAGAGAAAAGAACCTGAAAAATTCATTTTTAAAAGCTTTTTGAACCTGAAAATAATTTTTTTCACCTTTTTTTTCGATTTTTTTTGTAAAATTTTTATTGGTTTTCAGCTATTTTCTATCATTTTCTAGACCTTTTTTCACTCGATTTTTCACAAATTTCAGCCAATTTTTCTTCCAGAACTTTCCAAAAATGCTCGGCACCCGTCTGAGCACCACTGGCAGATGCCTTCTGGCCGCCACGTCGCATGTTGAAGTCTCCGGAGGCATTCAGAAGCGACAAATGGGACGGAGACAGCCGAAACAGGGAAAACCGCCGATTTTGCCGCCGTCTAAGAAGGTGCGGCGATGGGAACTAGGAGAAAAATATTTAAAAAAAATAAAAAATTCCCAAATTTTTTCCTGAAAAATCTGAAAAAAGTCATTTTTGTTGCCTGAAAACTAGAAAAAATAAGGAATTCTGAAATTTTTCGTCGAAAAAACCCCAATATTTCCTTCCAGGTCCTCTATCACGTCGTCCACGCCCCGTGGCAGAAACCAGAAGACGTCGAGGAGCTTCTGTGGCGTCGTCACGCCTACAACAACGCCGTCGTCTCGCTGCGCGAGGTTTTCCGCGCGGAAATCGCTCAAAACGCGTCACACGGACAGGGTATCGAGGCGATGAAGGAGGCAGAAGCGTTGGAATTCGATGAGCTGATTTTGGAGAATCAGAAGAGAAACGAGGTAAAATTTTGGTGGTTTTATGAGGAAAAATGATGAAAAAGGCCTGAAATCCTTAAAAATCTCATCCAATCACCTAAAAACGCCCGAAATTCGCTTTAAAGACCCCAAAAACAACCCATTTCCAACTTTTTTCCTCTTGGTGGCCTAACTTTTTGAAGCCATGGCCTAGAAATCCAAAACTCGGCCAGAAAGCTTTCAGCATTCCCGAATAGTACAAACTCCTCAGAATCCGGTCAAAAATCCCCAAAAACAACTAATTTTTAGCCATTTCTCCCTTGGTGGCCCAACTTTCCCAAACCATGGCCTAGGAATTCAAAACTCGGCCACAAGCTTCTAGCATCTTTCAAATAGCTCAAAATCCCCGAATTAGTGTCAAAAAACGATGAAAAAAAACCAATTTTCAACCATTTTCCCCTTGGTGGCCTAACTTTTTGAAGCCATGGCCTAGAAATCCAAAACTCGGCCACAAGCTTTTACTGCTTTTCATGTAGTTTAAAATCCTCGAAGTCCGGTCAAAAAACCCCATAAAAATGCCCATTTTTAGTATTTTTTGTTGGTGGCCTAACTTTTCCAAGTCATGGCCTAGAAATTCAAAACTAGGCCAGGAGGCTATTACTGCGTTCCAAGTAGCTCAAAATCCCCGAAATAGCGTTAAAAAACTATGAAAAACAACCCATTTTTCCCCTGGTGGCCTAACTTTTCCAAATGGTGGCCTAGGAATCCAAAACTCGGCCACAAGCTTTTACTGCTTTCCAAGCAGTTCAAAATCCTCAAAATCCTGTTAAAAAACCCCAAAAAACCACTCATTTTTAGCCATTTTTCCTTGATGACCTAACTTTTTGAAGCCATGGCCTAGAAATCACAAAACTAGGCCATAGCGATTCAGAAGTGATTTCTCTAAATTTCCAATGTTTTCAGACAAAACGAGCGGACCGTGAATTGCGAGAATCCGAGGCGACGAAGGAGACGAAACGAGTGATTCTAGATGAGATCCACGTGGAGCTGGAGAAGCGGAATCTGGAGAAGAAGGCGGCCGAGGAGGAGGTCAAACGGGCTATCGAACGATCGTCGGGCTTCGTGAATCGAGAGAATCTGGAAAAGAAGATTCTGGAGGCACTGGAGACGCCGACGATCTACGACTTCGCTATCGATCGAGCTGGAAATAAGTACTTCGTGCCACAACCGGTTAAATATCAAGAGGGAACACCGACACGACAGAAGGGACGGTTGTATGATCAGACACTGGGGACACAGATGGGAATGATGGAGGAAGCGGCTGCTAGTGGAGAGAACAGGCAGATGGAGCAGTAGAAGGTAGAAATGTGCGAAAAATTTGGAAAAATTGCACTAAAAATGATATTAATTACCTAAAAAATCACCTAAAAACCCCAAAAAAACAGCCCATTTTCCATAGGTAGGAGGTAGAAATCTGCGAAAAATTGCACTAAAAATGATAAAAACCGCATCTAATCACCTAAAATCAGCAAAAATCGAGTTTAATTGCCCAGAAATCCGGCTCCTGGACGTTTCAGAACCCGACGTTTCGGAACCCGACAGTTCAGAACCCGACAGTTCAGAACATGATGTTTCAAAACTTTTCTGCATTTTTGTATAGTGGTGTTTATGCACCAAATGAGCATTGCTCATTTCAATTTTGTGTTTTTCTGCTTTTTTGTTCATTCTCATCTACCGTACTCCAAATAATGATAGGTTCACACTGGGTATCTCTCAAAAAATCGAAAAAAATGAACTTTTCAAGAACGATGTCTTGAAGTACGCAATAATTTTTCCGGCGAATAGAAGTCTCATTTTGAATGGTTTTATTAATGACATCGTTCTTGAAAAGTTCAATTTTTTCGATTTTTTGAGAGATACCCAGTGTGAACCTATCATTATTTGGAGTACGGTAGATGAGAATGAATAAAAAAAGCAGAAAAACACAAAATTGAAATGAGCAATGCTCACCTGGTGCGCAAAAACCACTATACAAAAATGCAGAAAAGTTCTGAAACGTCGGGTTCTGAACTGTCGGGTTCCGAAATGTCCATGAGCCGAAATCCGATTTACGGCGAAAAAACCCAGCCAGAATCACCCATTTTCAGTCATTTTTAATTTGGTGGCCTAGAAATTCAAAACCTAGGCCACAAGCTTCCAGCATTACCAAATAGTTTAAAATCCTTGAAATCCGGTCAAAAAACCCCAAAAACAACGCATTTTCAGTCATTTTTTCCTGGTTGCCTAACTTTTTCAGCTCGTGGCCTAGAAATACAAAAACTCGGCCACACAGATTTTAGAATGAAAAAAGTTGAATTTTTTTGAAAAAAAAATCTCAAAAAACTTTTAGAAGTTTCTAAAAATCGACGACTTCTGAAGCGATTTTTTGGATTTTTTGGAAATTTGGAATTTTCGAATTTTTGAATTTTTCGGAAATTTTAAAAATCGAATTTCGGGATTTTCAGAAAAATTTTGTTTTCTATTTTTTTTTAAATTTAAAAATTTCGGAATTTTTCAGAATCCATCATCATCATCTTCCCCGACCAACGTCTTCTCCATCGCCTCCTTCTCCTTCTGCGTCTCCAGAATCTTCCGAGAACGGCGGCTACATTGTAGCCTTTGTAGTCTGCTGCGTCCTTTGATAATTGATAAGAAATCTTGTCTTTTTCTCTGCGTCTCTTCTCTCTCCTTTTCCCCTCTTTTCACTGTTTTTGTAGCTCAAAATAGGCCTTTTTTTCTTGATTTTTGGCTCAGAATTTGGTTTTTTTGTAGTTTGTAGTGTGTTTGTTGATTTTCCTTATATTTTTTTATCGTATAAAAATTTCTTTTTTTCTATTTTTTTTTGCTAATTTCGAAAACTTGAAAAAGCGATTTTCGATATTTACAGAATTTCCCCTAAAAATCGCTGAAAAATGAACACTTATGTGGCTGAAATTGGGGAAATTGTGAGGGCCCAACGGCGAGACGAGGAATATGTCGATGAGATTTCAGAGAAATTTAGCAAGGTTTTTTGAAAAAAAAACGCTGGGCGCGAAATTTAATTTTTTAGAAAAAATTGAAAAAAAAATTTTTTCTGAAAATTTGAAAAATTCTGAAATTTTCAAAATTGTCCAATCGCGATAAAAATTGATATCACGAGCTGAAACAGGCTAAAAATAAAAATACTGAAAGAAATTTTCAGAAAAATCGAAATTTGAAAAAAAAATTTTTGAAATTTTCAAAAAAAAATTTTTTTTCAGTTTTGGGTTTTTTTCGAAAATTTCTATCAGTTTTTTCCTTTTTTTTTTAGCTAATTTCAGCTCGTCATATCAATTTTTATCGCGATTGGACCACTTTGAAAATTTTCGATTTTTGAAAAATTAAAAAAAAACTTCAAAAAATTCAAATTTCGCACTTTATCTCAAAAATCTGAATTTTTGGCTGAAAATTCTGAATATTGCTTCAATTTTTAGAGCGGGAAATTTGAATTTTTTCAGGTATTCAAAGAGCTTCTCGGTCAACGTCGTTGGATACGGTGGTACCCGTATCTGAAGACCATCGCATCGAGTTTGTACTACTCGAGTACGGTAGTTGTTGGTGAGTTTTGGAAAATTTTTTGAATTTTTTTTTCAAATTTTCGATTTGTTTTTTCGAAAAAATGGATTTTCAGCCATTATTTCATAATTTCTGAAAATTTCAAAAAAAAAATTTTTTTTTGAATTTTTCAAATTTTCCAGGAAACCAAACGCTCGGCGAGGAATACGTGCATCTATTCGAATCGGACGGTCTTCAGAGAGTGGTCCCATCGATACCCTCTAGAGTCTCTTTCGTTTTATTGCACTCTGTTTTTCCGCTGATTTCGAATTTTTTGATTCAGGTACAGTAATCCAAAAAATTTGAAAAGTTGCAAAAATCGATGAAAATTCTGAAAAAAAATTTTGAAAAAAATCTGAAAATTTGAATTTTCAAATATGTGAAATTTTTGAAAAAAAATTTTTTTGAAAAATTTTTTTCTGAATTTTTCAAAAAAAATTATTCGAAAAATTCAAAAAATCGAAAAAAAATGTGTTTTATTTGGCTGAAAATTCAAAAATATGAGGTCAAAATGCTGTAAATTTAAATTTCAGACATCAAAAATTCGAAATTTTTCAAAAAATCTGAGAATCTGAAAAATCAAAAATTCAAAAAAATCAAATTTTTTCGAAATTTCCTAGCGAAAAATCCAGTTTTTTGTCATCAATTTTGCTACAAAAATGAAAAAAATCTGAAAATTCGAAAAAATAATTTTCCCTGAAAATCCCATTTTTCAGAAAAAATCTGTAAATTTGACTCTAAACTGCTGGAATCAATCAATTTCGGAGCTCCAAAAAAAATCAATAATTTCCGCTGAAAATTGAAAAAAAAATCCGAAAAAAATTCAATTTTTTTGGCAAATTTTCAAAAATTTTCAACAAAATTTCAAAATTTTGGAATTTAAAAATTTAAAAATACGATTTTCAGAGCCTGAAAATCGATATTTTTTCGGATAATCAAAAAAAAAATTGTTTTTTCGAAAATTCAAAAAATCTCTTCCAGAAAGCGGAAGCGACTCTAACGCATCCATCAACCAATCGATTCCTCGGAATCGATATTCGATCGAATCGCAAAGCGCGTCAATCCTTCCTTGACGTCTTTCATTGGCTCCGTACCGTACTCTTCCCCCAACTGCAACGGGCTCATTGTGCCCTATTTTATATCACTGGGTCGTACTACAGTATCGCTAGAAGAGCTACACGGATACGATTTTTGTCGGCCAGCGCTCAATCGGATATACCGGTAGGGAAATTTCGAAAAAAAATTTTTCAAACTGTAATTTTCAGAATTTTCACTATTTTACAGTTAAAAACTTTGAAAAATCGATTTTTTCCGAATTTTATCGATTTTCGACCCAATTTTTCAGGCGCTAAAGGTCTATCGATTTTTGGGATTTGTCACCTTGGCTCAATTGGCGATCAGTGCACTTTTAGCGATTTTTAGCTGGCTGGAAACCGAAAAATCGCAAAAAAACCTGGAAAAATCGAAGGATCAGAAGCTCGGAAAAGGATTGGAATCGAGTGATTTGGACGCGATATCGGTGAGAAATATCGGAAATTTTGAGCGGAAAATTGGCTGGAAATGACTGAAAATTATCGACTTTTGCAAAAAAAAAATATTTGAAATAAATTTCAAAATTTCCCCGATTTTTCATACTAATTTTCAGCGATTTTCAGTCAGTTTTAAGCCTAAAATTCGAAAAAAAAATATTTTTTCGAATTTTTTTTTTCGAAAATTTGCATCATTTTTGAAGCATTTTCCATCGTGTTTTTCCGACAAAATTCAGATTTTTTTTGCTAAAAAATGACGAAAAATCAGCATAAAATAGTCTGAGATCAGCTGAAAATTTCTAGAATATTTCAAAAAAAAATTTTTTTAAAGCAAAATTATCGATTTTTTTCAGCTGTCGCATCCAACGTTCCAGTGCACCATCTGCCTGGAGAACCGTAATCCTTCGGCCCTCTTCTGTGGCCACCTCTTCTGTTGGCAGTGTATTCAAGAGCACGCCACGACGTATTCTGGTTCCACGTCATCTGCCCGGTGCCCATCGTGTCGACTGGAATTTCAGCCTCGTGACGTCACGCCGCTTCTAAATTTGTAGTGAAAATATGTCGCTGAAAATGATGAAAAATCAGTTGAATTATGGGTTTCTTAAAGTGGTGAGCTTTTTTTCATTTTTTAGCGATTTTTAGAAAATTTCTCATTTGAGCGCGTTTGCTAAAAATAACTGAAAATGGTCTCAAGTTCGCTAAAAATGAACGAAATCGACCCGAAATTCACGAAAAATTACTTTAAAACATCCTAAAAGTCGAAAAATGTCATTTTTAGCGATTGTTAGCAAAATTCTCAATGGAGCGCGTTTGTTAAAATTGGACGGAAATGATCAGAAATGGTCTAAAACGATCTGAAATTCACAAAAAATAACTTAAAATGGCTGAAATAGCAATAAAATAGTCAAAACATGTGATTTTTAGCGATTTTCCGCAAAAATTCTCAATGGAGCGCGTTTGCCAAAACTGGCTAAAAACCACTAAAACTGATTGAATCAGCCTGAAATTGACTGAAAGTGACCTGAAATAGTCTAAAATTGACTAAAACCTGATGTTTAGCGATTTTTAGCAAAATTATCAATAGAGCGCATTTGCTAAAATTTGCAAAAAATGGCTGAAAACGATCTGTAATTGACAAGAAATGGCTGAACATAGCCTAAAATGCTGAAAAGTCTCATTTTTTGTGATTTTTACAAAATTCTCAATATAGCGTGTTTGCTAAAATGGCCCAAAATTTGTTGAAATTGACCCCAAACGATTTGAAATTTACTAAACATGGTTTGAAATTGCTTAAAATAGTCAAAAATCTGGTTTTTAGCGAGTTTTAGCAAAATTCTCAACAGAGCGCATTTGCTAAAACTAGCTATAAATGGTTCAAAATTTGCTAAAAATGACCTAGAAAAGCCTGAATTCACTATAAATGGCTTGAAATAGCTCAAAACACTCGAAAAATAGGAGTTTTAGTAAATTTTAGCAAAATTCTCATTGGAGCGCATTTTCGAAAATTAGCAAAATATGACTGAAAACGACCTGAAATCGACTAGAAATGGCTTAATATAGTCTAAAATGCTGAAAACCGTCTTTTTTATGGATTTTAGCAAAATTCTGAATAGAGCGCATTTGCTAATATCAGCTAAAAATAACCATTTTTCAGTCATCTCTTTGTCAATATTCGTCTCCCAATCACCATCCAACCATCTATTTCACCGGAATCCAACCAACCGGAATTCCCCATCTCGGCAATTTCTTCGGATCGATCGAACCGTGGATCGATTTACAGAATTCTGTGAATCCAGAGGATCAGATGATGTTATCAGTTGTCGATCAACACGCTATCTCGTTGGGACCACTTCCAGCTGATCAGGTAAACAAAAATTAGCGCGAAAAAAAAAATTTTTTTTCGAAAATTTTTGAAATTTTCAAAATTGTCCAAACGCGATAAAAATTGATATCACGAGCTGAAACAAGCTGAAAATGCGAAAACTGGAAAAAATTTTCGAAAAAATCAAAATTTGAAAAAAAAAATTGTTGGGAATTTTTCGACAAAAATTTTTTTCCGATTTTTGATTTTTTTTTTCGGCAAGTTCTTCCAGTTTCCTCATTTTCAGCCAATTTCGATTTTAAAAATTTCAGAAATTTTCAAAAATTTTTGAAAAAAAATTTTTTTTTCAAAATTTCGAATTTCGCGCTGTTTTTTGAAAATTTTGAAATTTCAGCTCCGCCGAAACACCCGCCAAATGACCGCGAGTGTCATCGCTTGTGGTGTCGATCCATCCCGAACTTTGCTCTTCCGTCAATCCGATATCCCCCAGATTGCTCAGCTTTCGTGGATTCTCGGCTCACTACAAACTACATCCAAGCTGGCACGTCTTCCGCAATACAAGGAAAAACAGGAGAGGTTTGTGAGGACCATTTTGCAGCTCTAGAAATCGATTTTGGACAGTTTTGAGCCAATTTTAGCAAATGCGCTCTATTGAGAATTTTGTAAAAAATTGCAAAAAATCACATTTTTGACTATTTAAAGCTATTTTTCATGATTTGTAGTCAATTTCCAGTCATTCTGGGTAATTTCTGATCATTTTCGGTCACTTTTAGTAATCGCGCTCTAATGAGAATTTTGCTAAAATCGCTAAAAATGACATTTTTCAACAAATTTCTTTGCAGATTCAAAAAAGGCGACATTCCAGTCGGCCTCCTCACCTACCCTCTCCTCCAAGCGGCCGACGTTTTGACATTCAAAGCGACTACAGTACCCGTCGGCGAAGATCAAAGCCAACATTTAAACCTCTTGGGTGGTCTGGCCTACGCATTCAATAAGACATATCAAACTGACATCTTTCCAATTCCAAAACAGTTGACAAGAGAGAAAAATGCGAGAATTCGATCGCTAAGAGAGCCGGAGAAGAAGATGAGCAAAAGTTCGGGTGGACCAAGAAGTCGTATTGAGGTATGGGGGAAAATTGTCTGAAAATGATCTGAAATCAGTTCTAAACGGCTCTGAAATCTCTGGAAATGGCCAAAAACGGCCTGAAATAGCCTCAAATAGTCGAAAAACGCCATTTTTAGCGATTTCAGATAAAATTCTCAATAGAGCGCGTTTGCCAAAATCAGCTGGAATTGACCCCAAAAAACCTGAAATATGTTAAAGACCGCTTAAAAAGGGCTGAAAATAGCCTGAAACAGCCAAAAAAAAGCCATTTTTAGCAGTTTGTAACGAATTCTCATTAGAGCGCATTTGCTAAAATCAGCTTACATGAGTTTGAAATGGCCAAACGACCTGAAATTCATTAAATAAAGCTGAAAATGACCGAATAATGTCGAAAATTTGATTTTTAGCAATTTTAAACCAAATTATCATTAGAGCGCGTTTGCTAAAACTGGCTGAAAATACACCCAAATGACCTAAAATTGATTAGGAATGGCTTAGAATGGCCTAATATAGCCGAAAATGTGATTTTCAGCGATTTTCAGCAAAATTATCAATAGAGCGCATTTGCTAAAATGGTCAAAAATTGACTAGAATTTACTACAAACTACCTGAAATTAACCAGAAATGGCTTAGAATGGCTTAAAATAGCCGAAAATGTGATTTTCAGCGATTTTGAGCGAAAGTCTCATTAGAGCGCGTTTGTTAAAATGGTCCAAAATTGACTAAAATAGATCCCAAACCACCTGAAGTCCATTCTAAATGGCTGAAAATAGCCCAAAGTAGACGAAAATTTCATTTTCAGCGATTTTCCAGGAAATTCTCATTAGAGCACATTTGCTACTTTTTTCAGATCACCGACTCCCGTGAGACCATCATTGAAAAGTGCCAAAAAGCGCAAAGTGACACGGCTGGCGCTGTGACTTATGATAAGAAGAATCGATTGGCTGTGTCGAATTTGGTAGGTCAAAGAATTGGAAAATGCGCTCCAATGAGAAAAGTTGGGAAAAGTCGATTTTTTGGCGGGTTTTCGAGCGGAATTTTTGATAAATTGGCAATTAGAGCGAATTTGAGGCTCTCTGAAATTGGTAGATTGCAAAAATTTTTCAAAAAAATGTGGAAAACGCGCTCCAATGAGAAAAGTTGGGAAAATTCGATTTTTTTTTGGCGGTTTTTTGAATTCCCGCTCAAATTTTTCGGCAATTCTCAACAGAGCGAATTTGCAGCTCGATCTCTACTCGGCGATCACCAAGACGCCACTCTCGGAAATCGACTATTCCAGCTGGTCGACGCTGGACCTGAAAATGAATTTGGCCGAAAAAATCGATAATCGGCTGGAGCCGATTAGAGAGAAATTCGAGGAGCTGGAGAATAGTGAAGAGGTGCGGGCTGGCGGGAATTTGAAGTTTTCAAGTTTTCAAGAAAAAGAAAAAATTTTTTTTTGAAAAATATCGATTTTTTGGAATTTTTCGAAAATTTTCAAATTTTTCAAAAATCGATTTTTTTTTCAGATCGACAAAATTCTAGAACGGAATGGCGACGCGGCGCGAGAAATTGCTGAGAAGAATCTCAAGGAAATTCGTCGGATTGTTGGATTCTTGTGATTTTGTGAAATTATCGATTTTTTGGATTTTTGAGATTTTAGGCATTTTTTTTTGATTTTCAGTTTTTTGTTGTTATTTTTGAATATTGATTTTTTAAATGAAGAATGAAGGATTTTTTAAAGATTTTCAGCATTTTTTCAGATTTTTCAGAAATACCCAAAAAATTGAAATTTCGGAATTTTTCAAATATTCAAAATTTGAGAATTCTTCAAAAATTCCACTCAAAAAACCGCCGAAAAATCGATTTTTCTCAATTTTCTCAATGGAGCGCATTTTCTTTCCGATTTTTTCAAATAAATGCAAATGCGCTCTAATGAGAATTTCTTTAAAAATCGCTGAAAATGGCACAATTTTAGACTATTTTAAGCCATTTCTAGCCATATTCAATGAATTTCAGGTCGTATGGCACTATTTCGGGCCATTTTCTGCTTATTTCAGCAAATGCGCTCTACTGAGAATTTTGTGAAAAATCGTTAAAAATCACATTTCCGACACCTTTGAGGCATTGTAAGATGTTTTCAATGAACTTCGGCGCGTTTTGGATCATTCCTCACCTTTTTCGGTCAATTTTAGCAAACGCGCTCTAATGTGAATTTCGTTAAAAATCGATGAAAATGTATTTTTCATGTCATGTAAAATGTATTCCGTTCTCATCCATGCTGAATCGTTTTCCAGCAATTTCAGGTCATTTGGACCATTTTCAGCTGATTTTAGCAAATGCGCTCTATAGAGAATTTTGCTGAAAATCGCTAAAAGTGACATTTTTGACTACTTTTAGCCATTTCAAGCAATTTCTAGTGAATTTCAGGTAGTTTAGAGACAATTCTAGTCAATTTTGGACAATTTTAGCAAATGCGCTCTACCGAAAATTTCGTTAAAAATCGCTAGAAACCACGTTTCCGGCTATTTCAGACCATTCTGAGCAATTTTTAGTTAATTTCAGGTAGTTTGGAGTCATGTTTGGACAATTTTAGAAAATGCGCTCTACCGAAAATTTCGTTAAAAATCGCTTAAAATCAAAATTTTGGATATTCAGAATCATCTTAAGCCTATGGAATTGGATTTCAAGCCGTTTCAAGTCGATTTCAGTAATTTTTGGGCAATTTTAGGCCAATTTTAGCAAACGCGCTCTATTGAGACTTTTTGTCTAAAATCGCTTAAAAATGTCATTTTTGGCTATTTTAAGCGATTTTTCATGGGTTTAGGTCGTTTTTTTTTCAGATTTCTGGGATTTTTGAGCTGTAAATTCAATTTTTTTCGATTTTTTTTCGAATTTAGAGAAGAGAAATTTATAATTAAAATTTTACAAAAAAAAGAAAAAGAAAAATGCTTTTAAGACATAAAAAATACATTTGAGGGGTTGGGGGGAATGCAAAATATACGGTTTTTAAAGGGATTTTTAGGAGGGAAAAAGTGAAAATTTCAGAGAAAATAAAGCTTGGGAGATTATAGAGGGGGGACGAAAAATAGGGGGAAAAACGAGATTTTCAGAGTTTTTAGAGCAAAAAATATGGAAAAAATGCCACTTTTTAAGAAAAAAATGACTGAAGATTTTCAAGCTCAAAAAAGTCCCAAAAATCTCAAATTTCCCATTACAGTAACCTCAAAATTATCAAAATTCGCTCTAATGAGCGACAGCATGATTTCCATTGATGATAGCGAGAAGAGCGTCACGATAGGCTCCCGAGGTGTCGCCCTTGACCATATCAGCCAAGCTCTTCTGGTAGAGCTCGGCGAACTCGTTCTTGATGAGCTCCAAGTCGACTTCCGAGCGAGTGACGAGCACACGAATCAAATCGTTATCACGGGTTCCCAGTCCCTTCATGGAGGCGTGGAGCTGTTGAGCGAAGAACTTCTGCTTGTCGGAAGCGGCACGGACGATCGTCAAGTAGGATTTCTGGAAAATATAACTTTGTTTTTTGAATTCCTGAGCTCAAGGGCTTTAAAATGAGCCCAAACTCGGCTAGGTTCCGCCCACTTTGAGATTTTCGATAAACGCGCTCCAATGAGAATTTCGTAGAAAATCGCTGAAAATCACATTTTCGACTATTTTAGGCAATTTCTAGCCAATTCAAAGTCATTTCAGGTCGATTTCAGCCAATTTTAGACCATTCTCTGCTAATTTCAGCAGAAGCGCTCTATAGAGAATTTTGTCGAAAATCGCTTAAAATCACATTTTTGATGGGTTCAAACTGCTGAAAGCGATTTCTAGTCAATTTGAGGTCGTTTAAAGCCATTTTGAGCTCATTTTGATCGAATTTAGCAAACGCGCTCTACTGCTAATTCTTGAAAACTAACTGTAACTCGCTTCATGTTGGTCCATTTTTGATCAAACCTAGATTTTTGAAAAAAAAAAAAAAAAAATTTTTTTGAAAAATGGAGCCTGGACCCCCATCGTGTTTATACTCATTTTGACGCTCTCAACTGGGAAAACTTCAATCTGGCCTCCAATCTGAGTAAAATTGCTCACCTGAAGATCTCCGGAAAACTCCTTCTCGATGGACTTCTCGATGGAAGCACCGGCGAGCTCCTGGAAGTAGGCGAAGACCTTGCGGAGCTGGTATTGGTTCTGGGTGGCGAGAATGTGAAGGAAATGGGTTCCATCCTTCTTGGCAAGCTTGGCTTTGCCGTCGGCGAACAGACGAACGGCGTCCTGGAAAAGTTGATTTTCAGATCTAGATTTTCAGCCAATTTATCTGGGTTACGGTAGGAGATATCAAAAAGTTGTCAACTGATAAAATGCTTATCATATTATCAGTAACATTTTGCTAGTTAGCCACTTTTTGATATCTCTTACAGTAACCGAGATAAATGCACTCAAAGTTGACAGGCCCTTCTATTAGACGGTTGACGCATTTCTAGCTGTCCAATTTCGATCAAAACTATATTTTTGAATTTGTGAACTCAAGAGCTTCAAAATGAGCTCAAACACGACTAGGCTCCGACTATTTTGAGATTTTATGGCAAACGCGCTCTACTGCTAATTTCAGAAAATTGGCTCTAACTTGCTTAGTTGTGGTTCAATTTGAACGAAATTTGGATTTTTGTGTTTCTCGCATCTTGCCCTTCAAAATGAGTATAATCACGACCTAGTTAAACAAAATTGAGTCAAACGCGCTCTACCGCTAATTTCACAAAATGGGCTGTAACTCGCTTAGTTCTGGTCCAATTTTGATGAAAATTAGATTTTTGAGCTTCTCAAGCGATGAGCTTCAAAATTAGTATAATCACGACCTAGTTTCTTGAACTTTGAAAATCGAGCTATAAGCTAGCTTTCTAGCGAATTATGGTTTTTGAGCTATATTTTCGCACCAAACTCACATCCTTAGCCTGGGCATCATTGGTATCATGAGATCCGTCCTTGGACCCAGTGACAAGGCTAACCAACAAGTCACGGAACTCTCCAGAAGTGTCTCCAGCGACGTCGGCCTCCAAGGCCTTACCGTACTCCTTCTCATAGGTGACACGAATGGCACGGAGCTGGTCTACGGTACGGGAGCACAGGATTTCGATAAGGACAGCCTCATCAGTTCCCAATCCCTTCATAGCGGCCTTCAACTGCTTGACATCGTAGTCCAATGGGGTGTCCATTAGAGCGAAGATGCATTTCTCCAAATCGCCGGAGAACTTCTTGTCCAGCGCGGTGATGAGGTCCTTTCCGTACTTGAGTTTGTATGGCTCACGGAGCAGCTGGCGTTGAGCATTCGAGATGGAAGTGAGCACACTGACAACACCGTCCTTATCACCGGCACGGAGCGCTCGATCGATTTTCTCGGCGAACATTGGAGCGTTGAACTCCTTGTTGTCGACGATGGTGGCGTATGGCGAAGTCATTCTGGAATATCGATTTTTTGGATTTTGGGTGGAACAAAGTGGGAAAAACTACGAAAAAGACGGTTTAAAGCCAATTTTGAGCCATTTAAGCGATTTCTAGTATATTCCATAGTATTTTTAGTGAATTTTAGAATATTTTAAGGAATTTTTAAACAAAATTTTTTTTCAAAAGTTTGAAAATTTGAATTATTCAGCTTTTCAGGTTCTTGGAACCTTTGGGTTTTTAGCGGATTTCTGACTATTTTGGACCATTTTTGACGAATTTTAGGTGAATTTCGGACTATTTTCAGTCATTTTAAACGAGTTTTTTGACAATTTGAATTTTCAAAAATTTTCAGATTTTCTAGATTTTGAAATTTTTAGGGTTTTTAACGAATTTTTGATTTTTTCAAACGTTTTTTAGCAGTTTCTAGACAATTTTATAGCTATTTTTAGTGAGTTTTTGGACTATTTTAGGCCAATTTTTACGCATTTTTCGAAAATTTGAATTTTCAGAATTTTTTGAACTTTTCGGGGTTTTAGCGGAATACGGAAAATTTTTAGACCATTCTCAACAAATTTTTGACATTTTTAAAGGTATTTTTAGAGAGTTTTCGACTGTTTTAAGTCATTTTAAGCGAATTTTTTGAAAAATGTGAAAAATTGATTTTTCCAAATTTTTAGTCTGTTGTTAGCGAATTTTGGGCCAATTTATTTGTTTATTGGCAAGTTTTTTACTATTTTCAGCGAATTTCAGGCCATATTCAGCAGTAAATTGACAAAATTTCGATTTTTTCGAATTTTCTGTACTTTTGTCGTTTTTTACATCGCAAAACTTGATTTTTCAATGAAAGCATGTCGTAAAATCCGATTTTTCCAAAATTTCACAACTCAAATCTGAAAAAACGCCGAAAATCGGCTGAAACTTGATGAAAAAAGATTCCGAAATGCCGAAAAATCTCTAAAAGTCATTCGGCTCGAGACCCGCAAGAAAGCTTTCTTGCGTGCGCCTTTGAAGTACGGTAGTTTTGAAAAATATCGTTATTCTTCGTAAATTTACTCTAGAAATTTCGAGATTTTCGGCCAAAAACAAGCTTTGAAATTATGAGAAAAAAATTATAAATTACGAAAAATTTAGATTTAAAAGCCTTAAAAAGCTTCTACAATTGTCTATAATTTTGAAAATATCAAGAACAAAATAAAAATCAAAAATTCAAAGATAAGAACTTTTCTAGATAACATAAAAAAAGAAACAGTTCTGTTCTCTCTCACTGAGTTTCTGTGTCTTTTTGAATGAAATGAAAAGAGCGGCGCCGCGGCGGAAAAAGGGGGCGGAGTCTGCGCCCCAACGATGAATCATTCTAGAGAGAGAGGGAGAAGACGCAGAGAAAAAAGACAACAAAAACAAAAAAAAGAAAAGGGATAGAAATGATGAAATTCGTATCTTTTTTAGGTATCTTTTTGCTGATGAAAAATAGAAAATAGAAATTTCGAAATAGCAGAAAAAATTAGGTGATTCATCTTTTTGATAAATTTGTGGTTTTTGAGATTTAGAATATTCTAGAAAAATTGGGAATTTTTGGAATCTAGAAAATTTAAAATCTGAAATTTGAAAAAATTTTGAAATCTTGGGAATTTTAAAATTAGCATTTCGGTTTAAAAAAGAAGGCATTTTAGAACTTTCTGGATTTTCAAGAAATTACGGAAACCTGAAAATTTTCCTAAAAATATACTACAAGACAGAAGATGACTCATGAAGCCCTTCCACTTTGTGTGTCTTCTAACTAGAAGATACTGTACTTTCCGTCCGTTTTGTTCTAAGAAGTGAATCATACTCTACAATACCCCCCAAGGAACCGCATGAGTAATGAGAGGTACTGTACTACAAAAAAGAGAACGAACAACAAAAAAAAAAGAACAAGACAAAATGGGGGAACTGTTTGTGCCTGGTACGGACGGAGAGGAGAACGGAACGGAGATAGAAAAAGAGAAAAGAGATGCTGTTGTTTTTGCATGATGCATCAGAATAAAAAAGAGGAAAGATGGCGCAAAATAAAAAAAGAATAGATCAAAACAACAAAAAAATCATGGTTCACAAGCTCTTGAATGAATGACTAGGGTTCTAGAAGATTCTATAGGCTCTGGAAACTTCTGGGAGCTTCTAAAAGCGTCTAGAAGCATTCTGTAGATTCTGGAAGGTTCCACAAGCTTCTCAGCGGAGGAATTCAAGGTTTTAGAAGATTCTATATGCTCTGGAAAACTCTGGGAGCTTCTAGGAACGTCTGGAAGTTTCAGACGACTTCAAAAGTTTCAAAAATAGCGAAAAAGAACCTAGGAAGGTTCCAGAAAGCTTTAGAAAGCTTTTAGCATACCGTAAAAACTCTATTAGATAGCCACCCCGAATTGAATGCCAGCCTCTAATATAGTGCCATACTAGGGCACCTCCGAACAATAGAGTGCCAGCCCCTAATATAATGGTAGTGCGGAGTTGGTGTCACTGTGGTGAAAGTTGAAGAATAACACAAAAAATCATTTTCTGGTTTTCTAGCTTTTTTCAAGCTTAAAGGGGGACTCCGACCAAAAATTTTTATTGCATTAAAATGTGCACACTCTCCCCAGCTCCTAATATGAACTGCAAGCCTTTTTCTCAGCGGAGCGCGGTTGCGCGCGGCGAAAATTTTGATTTTTAAATTTTGTACTAAAAACCGGTTTTTAGCAAAATTTTCGTATTTTTCGCCAATTTTTTCAATTTATCGTCCATAGGAATTGTTAAACCGACTAAAACACACATTTTAAGTACAAAAGCAGCAAGTTCCGACTAAAAATGAAAGAGGAGATAGATTTTTAAGCAATTTTCTAAAAACGGAAATTTCTCGAATTGTTCGGTGTTTTAAGAATTTTTTTTGTTGAACTATTGTAAAGAATTAATTTTTGAGTGTTTCGAATTATTATCCGCCAAAATGCTCTACCGGTCAAAAAAGATATTGCGATTTTTAGAAAATTGCTTAAAAATCTATCTCCTCTTTCATTTTTAGTCGGAACTTGCTGCTTTTGTACTTAAAATGTGTGTTTTAGTCGGTTTAACAATTCCTATAGACGAAAAATTGAAAAAAAATTGGCGAAAAATACGAAAATCTTGCTAAAAACCGGTTTTTCAGTACAAAATTTAAAAAATAAAAATTTTCACCGCGCGCAACCGAGCTCCGCTGAGAAAAAGGCTTGCAGCTCATATTTTTCACTGGGGAGAGCGTGATGTGTTAAAAGTTATCTATTTTCCGAATATTATTGCGAAAAAATTCAAAAAAAATCCGAAATTCCCGAAAAACGGCGTTGAAAAGGAAGAAAATTCAAAAAAGGTGCCGCCGGGGGACGAGGATTTTCAGTGAGAAACCTAGGCCACGGCTTTCCTACGTGGCAAA